TTTTCGCCTTCTTGTCCCCCACTTTACTTATCTCCAGGCAGCTCCTACTTCTGAGAAAAAATGTATCTGAATATAACTAATCCGTGTTTATGCTTTTAGCTCCATTCCCAAGGCTTTGGAAAGCGGTTCCAACTCTCCAGTTCGGCGCTTCCACGATACCTTTCTGAAAGGACTCCTTCCTCTCAAATATGCTACATTTCATTCCCCAATTGTTGCCGCTGATAACCAACCAGACTAAATTTCTCCTTCAAATTTCCAAACTTTGCCTTCTCTCCCTCCGCTTTTGAGAAAGACCGAGGCTCTGAGTGACTCTACTTTTCCCCTTCCGAGATTCAAGCCTCCCTTTTGAAGCCCTCCCCTTCAAACCACATATCTCGTTATCAATCCAGATTACGACTCAAATCATGAATTCATTCGTGAGTGAGAGAAGTCGAAAAAGGGAGAAAACAACCTCTTTGGGGGGTATTTTCTTCATTTCCTCTCAAAAAGAGGGTGCGAGAGGTTCCCCCTCCCACCTGGTGTTCATAAGGGACCCCCAAACTTTTATAGCGCGGTAAAACCGGGGGAAGTGGTTTCGGGACCCCGGCCCCTTCCACACAGCTGAATAAAATCCCACCTTTTCTGCTTTGAACTGGGATAGATGGCAGTATGGACTCAGATAACCCAGTTCAAAGCAGATCTTGTGAGATTTTCTGCTTTGATATTCTGGGTTATATGGCTGTGTGGAAGGGCCCTGAGTGTAGACCCATATAGTACAGTTGGAAGTCTACAATATATGGGTCCACGCCGACCATATAGTGGAGTTCAAAGTGTATGCTTTGAGCGTCTATTCCAGCCTTTCTCAATTTCATGCTGCTCTCGCTTTGGGTTTGGGGCAGTCACTTCTTCTCTCCCTCGCCTCTTCTCCCTTTTCCCTATCCACTCACAGACACGGCCATTTCATTCACACACAGAAGAAGAAGAAAACAAGAAAAAGTTGCGGCGGGAAGGAAGAAATCTAGATGCAAAGGAACTGAACGCGAGCGCCCGGTCTCCGAGGCTGCCTCCATCGAGGAGGATGGCTCCGAGCTTGACCTGGGAATGAGGGGGGAAAGGCTTTTTTTTTTGAAGCGATGGGGGTTCCCCAATAACATGAAAGTGGGGTATTCTCTCTCTCTCTCTCGCCCCCCCGGTTTTCCTCTTGCCATCTGTCCTTGGCCACCTTCTCTGCCGACACCTGTCCCGACCTCCTACGGCAGGTATTTTGAATTCTTCCTTGGGTTTCCCTTTTGGCTTCAAACCTCTCATTTATTTCCACTTGGCTCCTTAGCTTTGAGCCCCCCGGCTGTTGAAACTGGCCCGCGGTGCCCGGATGAGGATCGATCGCTTGCTATAATCCCTCCCCCTCCAAAGATATCTCAATATATCGCTATATTATTTCCTGGCCCTCTTTGGAGTCCCATTTCCGGAGAGACCTCCCAGTTCTGGACATATATCCTCTCCAAAATATTATATATATAGAGAGAAGGGGGAAGCATGGATAATATGATCATCCCCCTCTCCTTATTGATATGGGGATGATTATTGTCCTTCCTTCTGAAAAGGTTAGAAGAACTGGCGATTTACGGAGCTTTTTTCTCATTTCTGTAACATGTGGAGTTAATAATAGAGATGTAGGGCAGGTCTTCTTTCCCATCGTTTTCTTGGGGTCTTCTACTAACTCTTCCTTTCTTCCTTCCTCCTTCTTTCTTTCCTTCCTCCCTTTTCTTCTTTCCTTCCTTTCTTCCTCCTTCTCGCTTTCTTTCTTTCCTTTTCTTCTTTCTTTCCTTCTTTTCTTCTTTCCATCCTTTCTTCCTACTTCATTCCTTCTCGCCTTCTCTCCTATTTTCCTTCCTTTTCTTTCCTCCTTCCCCCTTCCCTCCATTTCCTTCCTCCCTTCCTTTTCTTCCTTCCTCCCTCCCTTTTCTCCCTTCCTTCCTTATTTCCTTCCTGTCTTCCTCCTTCTTTCCTTCTCGCTTTCTCTCCTTTCTCTCCTTCCTTTTCTTCTTTCCTCCTTCCCTTTTCATTCTTTCTTTCCTTCATTTCTTCATCCTCCTTTCCTTCTCTCCTTCCTTTTTTCCTTTCTTCCTCCCTTTCCTTCCTTCCTTTTTTCCTTCCTTTCTTCCTCCTTCTTTCCTTCTCTCCTTCCTTTCCTTCCTTTTCTTACTTCCGCCCTCCCTCCCTTTTCTTCATTTTCCTCCTCCCTTTCTTCCTCCTCCCTTCCTTCCTCCTTCCTAGTTCCAAGGGGGAACTAGAACTCTCCCAACGTGGAACCCTTCATTAGCACCTGATAATCACGCCGCTAATGAAGCCGAGGCGACAGGAGCAGCGCATTGCCTTGTCGCTGGCAGTTCCCATTTACTCTAACGTTCAACAAGAAGCAGGTTCGAGTCTCGTCCTTCTCGATTTCAAGCTGGAAAAGCAGAGGATAAGAAGGAACCCAGAGGAAAAAGGGGAAGGGAGGCTCCACCAGAAACAGAAAGAGACCCGCGAAGCAACGCGGCACAAGCCCTGCGCTTCCTGCCTACTAAGGTCTCCCGCTCTCGGTCTCCCTCCAGGTTAAGATCCAGGCGGCGTGGACCGGGGATCTCTTCCCCTTTCCATCTCTTGCTCTTTGGATGCTCCGAGCCAGCAGCGTCTCCTTCTCTCTCTCTCTCTTTCTCCCGCGAAAGCACTTGGCTCCGAACCGAACACCCCCCCCCCCACCCCGTTGAGGTGTCGAGGAAATGAAGGCAAAGAGGCCGGAGCGCGGCTTCTACTCTCCAGGAATGTGGCCTACAACTCACCTCCTTCCGCCCCAAAGGAAGACAACGAGCCTCTGCTGAAGTTTGGGGGGAAAGAGGGGAAGCGGAACGAGCCCTGGAAAGTGGGTTTCAGGCCGGATCCCCCTTTGGCTAGAAATCTATCCCCTTTTGGGCGCCACATCCGGGATGCCCCAAACCACGGGACTGTCGGACCCTCTCTCTCTCTCTCTAAATATAAGGAAGGAGAGAGAGGAAAGAGGAAAGCTGGTTCATGGTAGTAGTAGTAGTAATAATAGTAATAATAATCAAGATTATGATGATGTTCGTCCTCTGTATTCGTGGATCCCACTATCCAAAAAGCACATCGTGATTTTGTCCATTCTATGTAAAAGACATCACTGTATATGACGGGATTTGAGCATCTACGGATTTTGGTGTCCGGGGGAATCCTGGAACTGATATCAAGGGCCCATCGTATCCTTTGATTTCTTTCATTGATTCACACGTTCGTTCCTTCTTTCCTTCTTCTTCCCTTTCTTTCTTTCTTTCTTTCTTTCTTTCTTTCTTCTTTTCTTTCTTTCTTTCTTTCTTTCTTTCTTCTTCTTTCCCTTCTCCCTTCCTTCCTCCTCTTTTCCCTTTTCTTTTCTTCTTTCCTCTTCTTCTTCCCTTTCTTTCCTTTCCCTTCCCTTCTTTTTTCTTTCTCTCCTTCCTTCCTCTTTTCCTCTTTCCTTTCCTTCCTTCCCCTTTTTTCTTTCTTTTCCTTCTTTCCCTCCTTTTCTTTCTCTTCCCTTCCTTCCCTTCCTTCTTTCTTTCCTTTCCTTCTTCTCTCTTCTTTATTCTTTCTTCTTCCTTCCTTCCTTCTTCTTCTCCTTCTCCTTTCTTCCTTCCCTCCTTCTTTCTTTTTCTTCTTCTTCTTCTTCCTTCCTTCCTTCTTTCCTCTTTTCTTTCTTTCATTCCTTCTTTCCTCTCTTTTCTTCTCCTTCCTCCTTCCTTCCTCCTTCCTTCTTCTTCTTCTTCTTTCCCTTCCTTTTTCTTCCTTCCCTCTTTCCCTTTCCCCTTCTTTCCTTTTTTCTTTCTTCCTTCCTTTCCTCCTCCTCCTTTCCCTCCTCTCTCTCTTTTCCTTTCCCTCCTTCCTCTTCCTTCCTTTCTTCCAAATTCTACCACTCTCAATGGGTGCTATGGAGGCTTCCGTGGTCCTAACAGCCAGTCCTGTTATTTTGGGAGACCAAACAAGGAGAGGATGGGATGGATCCTAGCGCCCCCCCCCAACTCCCCCAAAATGAACAGTCCCACCAGGGTCTAGGAGTCGCTCACTCTCCCTCCTCCACCTCGCCCCGCCCCCTCGCCCCTCCGCGGCCTCCCATTGGCTGCGTCAGGTTCGGCATCGAGGGGGGGCGCCAATGGAGGGGGCTCCGGCGGCGGAACCAGGAAATCAATACAGAAAAGCGCGGAGGAGCCCCCTTCGGAGCCAGGCGGCGGTTGTGGCGGCGGCTGTCGAGGAGGGAGGGGGGGTGTGGGTGACGTCACGGGGGGAGTCGCTCCGGAGCGCCCGAGAGGGAGCGGATCCGGCGGTCGGGAGGCAAAGCGGCATCAGGCAGCAGGGGCAGCCTTGGCGTCGCCTCCTCTTCCTCCTCTCCTCCTCCTTCTCCTCTTTCTCCGCCACGCCTCAACTTTCCAAGAAAGTTCCCCAACTCCGGGCGGAAGAGAGAAAGAGAGAGAGAGAGGGAACCAGGCAGAGAGAGAGAAAGAAAGAAGGAAAGGAAGACAAAACTGTCGCTGTGAGTTCTTCTTCTCCTTCCAGCGCATCGCCTCCAGCTGCGCATCCTCTGCTTCTTCCTCTTCTTCCTCCTTCCCTTGCTTTTGAACCCTCTTTTTTCCTCCAGCGACGATGCCGTCCCTTGAACAAGACCCCCGACACGTGTCTGTGCCGAACGTGTGCATGTAGAGAGAAAAGGAAACCCCTTTCGCGGTTGCCTAGTTTGCCTTGCCCCCTCCCTGATTTCTCTGGAGTGTTTTGTTTCGTGTCCCTTTCCTCCCTTCCTTCTCCCTTGGCTTGCTTCCTCCCCGCTTCCTTTTCCTTCCTTCCTTCCTTCCTTCCTTCTGTCCTTCTTTCTTCCTCCATCGGGGATATTTTGGGGGGAAAGGGGAGAAGGTTTGCTTCGAAACCCCTCGACCTCGGAGACTGCCCTCGGCTCCGTGGACTGGAGCGAGGCATCAGGGGATGAAGGCGCCTCTTTGAACGGCCCGACATGGAAGGATCTAGCGGCTCCAGCTTCGGGATCGACACGATCCTGTCCAACCCCAGGTCCGGCAGCCCCGGAGGGATGAACAACGGCGGCGGCGGCGACTTTAGAGGCGCCCTCGGCGGAGATTTCCCTTCCTCGCCTTGTTCGGAAATAGACACAGTGGGCACGGCGCCTTCCTCGCCCATCTCGGTGACGGCGGAGCCTCCCGAGCCGCAGCAGCCGCAGCCCGACGCCCTCCCGACGCCCCAGCACCCGCTCCACCTCCCGCAGCCCTCGCCTCAACAGCAGCAGCAGCAGCAGCCCTTAGGGCCGGGCGGGGGCTCGGCGCCCAGGACTTCCACCTCTTCCTTCCTCATCAAAGACATTCTGGGAGACAGCAAGCCCTTGGCGGCCTGCGCGCCTTACACCACCAGCGTCCCGTCCCCGCACCACACCCCCAAAGCCGAGGGCCACGCGGCCGGAGAGGGATTCCGGCCCAAGCTCGAGCAGGACGGCGGCAAGCTGGACAAGCGGGACGAGGCCCAGAGCGAGCTCAAGTGCCACGGTGAGTCTCCCTCCCCACGCCGGCCCCCCAAACGTGGAGACCAGGCCCCCGAACGCCCTCGACGCGCCATTGTTTACCTCCCGAACCTTCCATCCGTTTCCGCCGCCAATCAAAAGACTCCTCCAAGGTTTCGCTCGGAGTTTAAGGGCCCTTCCACACAGCCCTATGTCCCAGAATATCAAGGCAGGAAATCCCACAATATCTGCTTTGAGTTAGGTTATCTGAGTCCACACTGCCATATATTCCTGTTCAAAGCATATATTGAACCCTTCCACACAGCCCTGTATCTCAGAATATCAAGGAAGAGAATCCCACAATATCTGCTTTGAACTGGATTGTTTGAGTCCACACTGCCATATATTCCAGTTCAAAGCATATATTGAACCCTTCCGCACAGCCCTGTATCCCAGAATATCAAGGCAGGAAATCCCACAATATCTGCTTTGAACTGGATTATCTGAATCCACACTCAGATCATGTGGGATTTTCTGCCTTGATATTTTCGGATATAGGGCTGTGTGCAAGTGCTCCAAGAAAACGCATTCTAAGGGCCCTTCCACACAGCCATATATCCCAGAATACCAAGGCAGGAAATCCCACAATATCTGCTTTGAATTAGGTTATCTGAGTCCGCACTCAGATCATGTGGGATTTTCTGGGATATAAGGCTGTGCGGAAGGGCCCTGAGGTCCCTTCCACATCTGAATAAAATTCCACATTTTCTGCTTTGTATTGAAATATATGACCGTGTGGACTCAAATAACCCAGGGCCCTTCCGCACAGCTCAGAATATCAAGGGAGAAAATCCCACAATATCTTCTTTGAACTGGGTTATCTGAGTGCACACTCAGATCATGTGGGATTTTCTGCTGTGATATTCTGGGGTATAGGGCTGTGTGGAAGGGCCCCAAGAAAAGGCATTCTAAGGGCCTTTCCACACAGCCATATAACCCAGAATATCAAAGCAGGAAATTCTACAAGATCTGCTTTGAACTGGGGCCCTTCCACACAGCCCTATATGCCAGAATATCAAGGCAGAAAATCCCAGAATATCCGCTTTAAACTGGAATATATGGCAGTGTGTACTCAGATAACCCAGTTCAAAGCAGATATTGTGAGATTTTTCTGCCTTGATATTTTGGGATATAGGGCTGTGTGGAAGGGCCCTTAGTCCACACTGTCCTATATTCCAGTTCAAAGCAGTTATTGTGGGGGTTTCTGCCTTGATATTCTGGGTTATAGGGCTGTGTGGTAAGGCCCTCTGAGACCCCTTCCACACAGCTGAATAAAATCCCACATTATCTGCTTTGCACTTGAATATATGTCGGTGTGAATTTAGATATTCCAGTTCAAAGCAGATATTGTGGGGTTTTCTGCCCTGTTATTCTGGGTTATATGGCTGTGTGGAAAGGCCTTGGGAGGCAAAAATCAACAAGGAGTCCTAACCCCAGGGGAAAAAACTCATCCAAATCAACACTCAATGTCTTTTGGCTGTTGAGCAGCCTACAAAACAAAACAAAAGTTATAGGGTTTTTAAAAAATCACATTAAAATCCATACACCATGTGCCAATTCAGAACATCGGGAAAATCTCATCAGAGACTCCTTCTACACAGCTGAATAAAATCCCACATTGTCTGTTTTGACCTGGATTATATGGCAGTGTGGACTCTGATAACCCAGTTCAAAGCAGATCTTGTGGGATTTCCTGCCTTGATATTATGGGTTATATGGCTGTGTGGAAGGGGTCTAAGCCAACACCAAAAAATCCAAAACCTAAATGTATTTTTCTGTTGGCTGGGCATCCTGAAACTTTTCTTTAAATGGAAAAAACTAAAATAAAAGCCACACGTTTTGAGAAAAAATGTGTTGCCTCTCCTCTCATATATATATATATATAGAGAGAGAGAGGGAGAGAGAGAGAGAGAGAGAGAAGAGAGAGGCAAAAATTTAAATATATAAATATTTCATTTATATATAGAGAAGAGGATAATTTTAAAAAGAAAACAAAAGAACGTGGACGGCAGGGCAATAATTAATTTAAAGGTGTCTTCTTCAAGGAAACCAAAATGCCCCTTAAATTTTATGAGATTTTTGAAATGTTAGACGGGACACAGGTCTGGAGAATATTAAACTATGTTTTCGGGGAGAGTTAGCAATCACATGTAGTAATAAAATATTTGGTATGCATGTATTACACGTTAAAAAGTCCTCATCCAACCAACCATTTTTGCTAAAGCTATATATACATGCACACACACACACACATATACATATACTGAATATTTTATTAGTCAAGTATATATATGCATATATACACACGAAGAGTCGGAGACGACTGAACGAATGAACGAATATACACACACATATGTGTGTATGTATATATACATATATGTATGTATATATATACACACATATACATACACTGAATATTTTATTAGTCAATTATATGTGTGTGTGCATTACATTATATATTATGTATACACACACATAATTGACTAATAAAATACAGGTGTATGTATATGTGTGTATGTGTGTACACACACAAACTCACACCCCCCGAATATTTTGCTCACCCATCTCTCTCTCTCTCTCTCTCTCTCTCTCTCTCTCTATATATATATATATATATATATAGTTTTGGGGAAAAATAGTTGGTTAGATGAGCACTTTCTTTTAAGAGTCCACCTTTTGTGAATTGGTACCAGGAAGCGGTTGACTTGACACTGCTGATAGCTATGTTATCTTAAGGAGCGTGCAATCAATTTGCGGGTTTGTCAATGTAAACACGATCAGGAGGGTGTGTGAGTCACATTCTGCCGATCGCTGGGAGGAAGAAAGAAATAAAGGGGGGGGGGGCGCACCCAAGACCCTCAATCCCTAATGGCAAGGGAATGGCCCCGAATTGGAAAATTGCCTTTGAAACGGCGGAGGTAAGAGCGGACACATTGGGCTCATTTTGCAGCCTTCAGATATTTAGCAGCGGCTAATAGAAGGGGCGCTCCGGTCTGCTCTTCATTTTGCCATTTCCCGCATTAGCATAAGAGTGGTCCAGAAAAACAGATGTACAGCCTCGTCTAGCAATTTTTTTTTGGTTCCTTGGTGCACCAACCTCCCCAGTGGGTCAATTAGAGAGATTATTGTTCTTCCTGCAGCGAAGATCAAGGGACGCCGAGAAAGAGAGAGAGAGAGAAGGGAAAGGAAAGGGGGGGAGGACTCTCTCCTGCAAACGCAGATGGATTTGACGTATCGATTTCCTAACATTTCCAACGCGAAGCCCCTTCTTCCCCTGCAACAAAACCCCAAAATCTGAAACAGGCTCCGGACCTTTGGCTTCTGTTTGTGGTCGCCTCTACTGTGCCAAGAGGCTGTTTGTGTTTTGAGAAAGGACCTGAATGGCGCTTTGTAGAGCAAGCAAAAATGTCCAAGTGGAATTGGAAAAGAAGGAGAGTGTGGATTAGAACAAGAGAGGAGGAAGAGAGAGAGGGAGAAAGAGAGGAAGACAGAAAAGAAAGAAAGAAAGAGAAGAGAAGAAAGAAAGGAAAAAGAAAGAAAGAAGGAAGGAAAGGTAGAAGAAAAGAAAGAGGAAGGAAAGGAAAGGAGGCAGGGATGGGAGAGGAAAGGAAGGAAGGAAGGAAGGAAGGAAGGAAGGAAGGAAGGAAGGAAGGAAGGAAGGGAGGAGAGAGGGAGGGAGGGAGGGAGGAAGGGAGGGAGGGAAGGTTGGGTGGTTGGTACAGCTAGTTTTACAATAAATTCTGAAAGTCTTGGAACTTTCTTTAATATGTGTGTATGTGTATATTTTAGGGTTAGAGCACTTTGAAAATTGAGAAACACAAAATCCAATAAAAAAGAAAGAAAGAAAAGAAGTGAGGGGAGGAAAGAAGGAAAGGAGGGAGGAAGGAAAGGGAGGAAGGAGAAAGAAGAAGGAAAGGAGAGGAAGAGAGAGAGGAAGGAAGGAAGGAGGAAGGAAGAGAGGAGGAAGGAAGGTAGAATGAGGCAAGGGACGAGGAAGAGAGAGAAAGAAAGAAAGAAAGAAAGAAAGGAAAGAGGAAGGGAGGGAGGGAGGAGAATGTAGATTAGGGTAAGGAACGAGGAAGAGAAAGAGAGAAAGGAAGGAAGGAAGAGAGGAAGGATAGTAGAATGAGGCAAGGGACGAGGAAGAAAGAGGGAGAAAGAAAGAAAGAGAGGAAGGAAGGAAGGAAGAAAGGAAGAGAGAGAAGGGAGAAGGAAAGAGAATGTAGATTAGAGCAAGGGACGAGGAAGAGGGAGGGAGGGAGGAAGGAAGGAAGAGAGAGAGGAAGGAAGGGAAGAAGGAAGGAGAGTGTAGATTAAGGACTCGGAAAAGAGGGAGGGAGGAAGAAAGACAGAGGGGAAGAAAGGAAAGGAGAGTGTAGATTAGAGAAAAGGAAGAGAAGGGGAGAAACGAAGGAAGGAAGGAGGGAAAGAAGGGAGAAAGGGAATCGTAGATTAGGACAAGGAACGAGGAAGCGAGGGAGGAAATTAGAAAGAATAAAAGAAAGGGAAAAGAAGAGAAAGGAAGAGAGAAAATACATTTGGAAGTGAAGTTGGGTGTGGGAATGAGAAACCATCCCTTCTCGGGGAACCCATGTTTGAGGGAACTTCACTACAGTTCACTTGAATGTTGAATTCACAAGAGTTCGGTTGGTTTTCCTAGTCTGAAGGAAGGGAAATACAAGCAGTCAACCGCTATGTCTCCGTGGTGGGGCTCCTTGGAATCCAATCTCAGTGGATTCCGGGGTGAGCTATTTGAAACCTGCTGGAGGAAAGGCCCATTCGTTGATCTATGGCTGGCTCATTTTGGCCAACGGGGTCACCTGTCCCCCTCTGTCCCTTGTTCCTCTCTGAACCCGAGTTTGTGCCTTGTGTTTAGGGGCGAAAGAAGAAGGCGACCGGGAGATTTCCAGCAGCCGGGACAGCCCCCCAGTGAGAGCCAAGAAGCCCCGCAAAGCCCGCACCGCCTTCTCCGACCACCAGCTCAACCAGCTGGAGAGGAGCTTCGAGCGGCAGAAGTACCTGAGCGTCCAAGACCGCATGGACCTGGCCGCCGCCCTCAACCTCACCGACACCCAGGTCAAAACCTGGTACCAGAATCGCAGGTAGGCCTTCTCAGAGATCTCTGGGGTTTGGGCGAGGGGGAGAGAAAAGGAGGACACCTACCTACCTATCCACCAACCCACCCGCCCGATTCTTATATCTAACCCCCATCTAACCCCACATCAAGCCCGGGCCCAAGCTTCCTCCCATGCATTTCCATAGGGTTTTCTTAGGCCAGGAAGATTCAGAGGTTGTTCTGCCAAGTACTCCCTTCAAAGATATAGTCCACAGAACTGCTTCTTAAACTGGGATCCTCTTAGCTCAGTGCTGGGGTCATTGAGGCCACGAAAATAGCAAAGGCAACAGGAAAAGGTTTCTAAACACCTCCCATTTACGGAAAGCTGTTAGCCAACAACATTGCAGTGGGCTCTGCAGAAAATGCTCCGGCTGTACTCCACAAAAGGGAAAAACAACCTGTTTAGCAACTGGCAAATTCTGATTAACTATCAGTAAATGCTTAATTTTTATATCTATTTCATATACCTGTATACCTAAGGTCGTTTAAAAGTTCCTCTGACAAAAAAGGGTTCAATAGTGAGGAAAGCTGAAGCAACTGTAGTCTACAGCACCTAGCATGTATTTATTATTAAATGCTAATCAAGGTGGCCAATTGAAACATTCACTCCTACCTCAAACAGACAGTTCTTTCTCCTAATCTGGACATTCTACAGATATATAAACCCAATTTTCCTAGTTTCCAACAGACCTCACGACCTCTGAGGATGCCTACCATAGATGTGAGCAAAGCATCAGGAGAGAATGCTGCCATATATGTCATATATGTGGGCAAAGCGTCAGGCGAAATGCAGGCGAAACGTCAGGAGAGAATGCTTCTGAAACATGGCCATACAGCTCGGGAAAACTCACAACTACCCAGTGATTCTGGCCACGAAAGCCTTCGACAATATATTTAGTAGTAATTTCCCATCCAAGTACTAACAAGAACTGACCCTACTTAGCTTTCAAGATCTGACAGGATTTGATACCATTAGGATATCTACTCCGAAGTCGCACATCCCTCTGTCTGGGAACCCTTTTATGCTCCAAAAGGAGGAAAAGTAAAATAGATGGTCCTTAGTAGAGGAGACTTTATTCCCATCGGGTGGGTAGTGAGAAATAGCAAGCTTGTCTGTCTACTTTGAAGTCAATCCTGTTGGCTTCCTGAAACCAGAACCTTTCTGGAATATGCCTTTAATCAAACAGGTTTTCTTTGATTCCCCCATTTAAGGAAGAAGGAAAAGTAAAATAGATGGACCCCAGTCTAGGAAACCTTGATCCTTCCAGCTAGGAGAGGAAAGGGGATGTAAAAGAGACAGACCTCAACCTAGGGACACCTTTTCTTTCCCCCGGCCAAAGTTAATCAAAAAGGAAAAAGGAAAATATAGGTTGCTGTGAGTTTTCCGGGCTGTGTGGCCATGTTCCAGAAGCATTCTCTCCTGACGTTTCACCCACATTTGTGGCAGGCATCCTCAAAGGTTGTGAGGTCTGTTGGAAACTAGGAAAATTGGGTTTATATATCTGTGGAATGTCCAGGATGGGAGAAAGAACTCTTATTTGCTAACACCTCCCAACAAAGGATTCCCTAGTCAGCAACCACCCAGGCTTTGAAGCTGCAAGGCCATTCAATGCTAATCAAAATGGAAAACAAGCAAGGTTTATATATGTCCAGGGTGGGAGAAAGAATTCTTGTCTGTTTGAGGCAAGTGTGAATGTTGCAATTGGCCACCTTGTTTAGCACTGAATGTAGGTGGGCCTCAGCCTAGAAACTATCTTTCCAGCACTATTCGAGAAGGATAAATAACATAATAGAATAATTTTTCATTTCTCCGGCTAGAGAAGAGAAGGAAAACAAAAACACCCCTCTCTGTCTAGGAACCCTTTTATGCCCCAGGAGGAAGAAGAATAAAATAGATGGCCCTCAGTAGAGGAGATTTTTATTCCCCCCAAAGAAAGAGAAGGAAAATAAACATAGATGGACCTCAGTCTAGGAAGTCTTTATTCTCCCAGACAGAAATGAGAAGTAAAAGTAAAATAGACACAGCTCTCCATCCAGGAATGTTTTCTACTTTCAAGGAAGGGCAGAAGGTGAACCTGGAAGAAAGGCTTGCCTGGGTCTGGGTCTAGATCTCTTCTCCTGGACCTCAATTTAAAGGGAGACCCTGGTTTGCCCCTTCTCAAGAGAAAGGAGGAAAGGAGGAAGGGACCCCAAACAGGCCAGGTAGTGAGTTTGTGCCCGCCCCCCCCTTCTCCCCGCAAAAAGGGCAGAGAGTTCACCTGTCAATCATCGCAATGGCTTCCTGGGAAAAGGAAGGGCGAGGAAAGGCAGCCCCTGGCGAAAGGGGCCAAAGGGCAAAAACGCTGGGACAAAAGGCCGCGACAAAAGAAAGCGCGCATGGCCAAGAAACGGGTCCCACTGTTAAGATGATGGGACACCTTTGCCGCCGGCTGGGGTCACTTTCTGGGTCCGGGGTTAGGGTCAGGGTTAAGAGGGATCCTCCGACGGCTTGGAATTGGGGTCTGCTTCTTTTCCCTTCAGCCTTCCCCTCCCCATCTGGGCATTTGGGGGCTCCCTTTTGGGGGGGGGGGAGGCAATACACGCTCCCGCCTGGTGCAACAGAGGGGAACCGAGGCGTAAAAATGTGTATATATTCTTATGATTGGTATCATTTAAAAAGAAGAGAAAGCATCGTCAACAAAGCGGGGGTGGGGTGGGGGTGGGGGGACCTGGGCGCCGCGCGAGGGGAAAGCGATGGCGGATTTTCTCGCAGCCGGGTTGCAAAGCCGCGTCCAGTTGTCATCCTTGCCATAATTTTCTGTCTCATTACATACGGTTGCAGCCACCCTAATTCTGTCGGAAAACATTAGTGTCATTTCCCGCCAATCTCAAGGCCAGCGCCATGTTTATTAATTGGGCTGCAATTGCTGAGGCCGTGATCGTGGCTCTGGGCGAGCGTGGCTCTGTGTGTGTGTGTGCGCGCGCGTGTGTTTGGAGGCTCCCGTAAGAGAGGGAAGCTGGGTATTAATGTGTTCCTATTACTATTATTAATTAACAACAACAACAATTAATAATAACAATAATAATATGTTTCTGTGCATGAGATCTGTGCGTGCGTGTGTGTGTGTGTGTTTGTGTGTGTTTGGAGTCTCCTTTAAGAGAGGAAAGCGTGGTATTAATTTATTACCATTACTAGAATTAATTAATTATTAATCATAATTAATAATATGCTTGTGTGCGTGAGATCTCTATGTGTGTGTGTGTTTCCTTTAAGAGAGGAAAGCGTGGTATTAATTTATTACTATTACTAGAATTAATTAATTATTAATCATAATTAATAATAATATGTTTGTGAGCCTGAGATCTCTATGTGTGTCTGTGTGTTTGGAGTCTCCTGTAAGGCAGGAAAGCGGGGTATTAATTTATTACTATTACTATTATTATTAATAAATAATAATTAATAATAATAATATGTTTGTGTGCGTGAGATCTCTATGTGTGTGGAGTCTCTTATAAGAGAAGAAAGTGGGGTATTCATTACTATTAATATTATTAATTAATTAATAATACTCATTAATAATAATATGTTTGTGTGCGTGAGATCTGTGTGTTTGGAGTCTCCTGTAAGAGAGAAAAGAGTATTAATTTATTACTATTATTATTAATTAATTATTATTAATAATAATAGTAATTATTATTATTATGAATCCCTTTGGGGAGATAGAGCGGAATATAAATAAAGTATTATTATTATTATTATTATATGAATAATTAATAATATGATTTTGTGAGTGATATCTCTAATAGATGGCCCAACATATCAGAGGGTCTCTCCATAGAAAAACACACTCGGGACATTGACTTGTGTATGTTCAGTTGATTGTACTGCATGTGTGGCTGAGAAGGATATACATGGCAATATTTCTCCCCATTTTGTGAGTTTTCTTGCCTTTTTAGGCCGAAGAAAGGGGCTCTAGCCATTGCTATAGAGGTCCCATTGAACGGAATTGTTTTGGGGGTACTTCAATGGGTCCTCCTGGTTTACAAGGGTTTGTTTTGGTTGTGGATAAACTTGGATTCCGCCCAAATTAATCCCCTTCTTCTCCATTTACCCTTCGGAGTAAACATACCCCCAAAAGTCGCCCTTTCCTCAGTATATAGACTCGATCTTCCCAACTGGAGGATACACTATGAACCAGCCTGAGTGGAACTTTCCTAGTTTTGATAAGGAAGTCTAAACAAAGCCTCACGTTTGTGGCTGTTTTGGGGGCGAGGTAGAGCGTTGTACAGGGAATGAATCTGGAAGCTGATGACGAAAAGGGTTATTTTGGGAGTTTCCCCCTTTCTCCCTTGTCCTCGGCCTCGAGGGTCGATCGGGAGCTTTTTCTTGTTCTCTTTGTGCGTTTCGGACTAGGTTCAGGTTTATATTTGCTGAAATTTGGCTTTGCCTTCTAAAAAGGTTGAAATTAGTCCGAGAGAAAGAGGTCAAAGCAAAGGAAGAGAGACAAACCCAAAGGTGGAGAAGGGGAGATACAGGGATCCAGTGAGGCGTTTGGTTGCTGGTTTTTTTGTCCTGCGTTTGGAGTGAGGCTAAGGCGGGATGTTTACTAAGGTTTCGTGTTGTTTTGGAAAGCTTCCCCAGAAAGAGACTGTGCGAACGTGAAAGAAAGCAAACGATTTGAGGCATATCTCTCTCTACACTAAGCACTGAACGTGGGTTGAAGGCAGCTCGGCGTGTAAAAGAAGGGATGTATTGTCGAAGGCTTTCGTGGCTGGAATCACTGGGTTGTAGGTTTTTCGGGCTATGTTTAGAAGCATCCTCTCCTGATGTTTCGCCTGCATCTATGGCAAGTACCCTCAGAGGTTGTGAGGCCATAGATGCAAGCGAAACGTCAGGAGAGAGTGCTTCTAGAACATGGCCATATAGCCCGAAAAACCTACAACAACCCAACGGATGGGATATTTCGAGGCATGGTTTGCTTTAGAGCAGATGCTTGGTGTGCTTTGAAAGCGCAAGAATCCCTTCTCGCCAATTGCAGATCCTTACTCTGGGCTCTGAGCACGTCTACACTAACCACTTAATGCAGTTTGAAGGCAGCTTGACAGTCAGTGTTTAGATGCCGCGCAGTGAGCCTATGCGGATGACCAAAGCTGAGGCATACTCCGAAACAGAGCCCTTAATGCGCATCAGCGTGCCTAAGGGCACATCTACATCGACCACTTGGTTTCCGCTGTGCAGATAGAAAATCCTAGAAGCAGTTTGAGGCCCAGATGGTGACTGACTGTGACTACACAAACCACAGAGTGCGGATACACATTAAGAGCTTCCTTGAGCTTTCCTGGGAGTTTGTTAGCTACCTTCGAACTGCATTATATGGTCAGTACAGATGGGGCCATAGAGTTGTCCTTGCGCACCAGAATGCTCTAAGGTGTAAACCCCCTTAAAGGGACTGGATGTAAGTCCCGGATACTACAGAGTGGGCCAAAAGTCACAAAGGGGTCCTATATAGACACTGCCTAGGATGCATTGCTATGGTCTTGGACGCCATTGTCGAGATCTGATTTTTCGCTAGTAATGTAAATTTATTTTCTACATGTACTGCATATGATGATATGGTATTGTAAATTAGTTCTTAAATATCTCTCTCCTTTGGGAGAGAAAAAGTGGGATGTTATTATTATTAATATTAATATTAATATTATTAATAATAATATCCCACTTTTCTTTTTTATCATTATTATTTTTATTATTTTAATTATTATTTAATTATTTATTTAATTATTAATATTTTTATTCTTATTTTATTCTTATTGTTAATATTAATATTGAATACCCTTTGTGATTTTGGGGTCATCCTGTATATACTGGTACAGGAACTGGTTGGGAACCAGCCTCTGCTTTTTTAGAATCACTATCCTGGAAGTACACTGCCATATAATGCCATTTGAATTGTGTTATATAGTCAGTGTAGACCCATAGAATGTAGTTCAGTCTGCGGATGGTGAGATGGGAAGTCTTTAGTTTGATCTACGTTGGCGTATCATTCCGTTTGATCTGCATTATATGGTCAATGTAGAGCCATATTATCCAACTCGGATAAAGAAACGGGAAGTCTAGGATTGGATGGACATTGACATATAAGGCCATTTGAATTGTGTTAGGTGGTCATAGAATGCAGTTCAGTCTGCGGATGGTGAGATAGGAAGACTTGGGCTGGATGTACACTGCCTAAAATGCATTCTATGATTTGTATAGAAGTCTTGGGCTGGATATACATTGCCAAATCGCTTCGTTTGATCCGCATTAGTATATGATCAGTGTAGAGCCATGTAATGCAGTTCAGACTGCGGATAGTAAAATGGGAAGTCTTGGGCTGGATGTATAGTGCCCAGTAATGCAGCTTGAAATGTATTATATGGTTAGTATAGACCCATATAATGCAGTTTAGTCTGCGGATGATGGGATGGGAAGTCTTGGGCTGGATGTACACTGCCATATAATGCATTATATGGTTACTACAAACTCATCTAATGCGGTCCAGTCTGTGGATGGTGAGATGGGAAGTCTTGGGCTGGATGAATACTGCCATATAATGCATTATATGGTTTGGACCGACCCTCTCCAAGATATAATGCCGTTCAGTCTGAGCAGTCTTGGGCTAGTTGTAAACATTGGCATATAATGCCGCTTGAATTGCTTATAAGCAGCTCAGCTTTCTACACAGCTGAATAAAATCCCACATTTTCTGCTTTGAACTGGAATATTTGGTAGTGTGGTCTCAGATAACCCAGTTCAAAGTAGATATTGTAGGATTGTTGTAGTTTTTTTCGGGCTATATGACCATGTTCTAGAGGCATTCTCTCCTGACGTTTCGCCTGCATCTAGGGCAAGCATCCTCAGAGGTAGTGAGGTCTGTTGGAATAGGAAAATGGGTTTATATATCTGTGGAATGACCAGGGTGGCACAAAGGACTCTTGTCTGCTGGAGCTAGGTGTGAACGTTTCAACTGACCACCTTGATTAGCATTTGATGGCCCGGCAGTGCCTGGGGCAATCTTTTGTTGAGAGGTGATTAGATGTCCTTGATTGTTTCCTCTCTGTTGTTGTGCTGTTGTAATTTTAGAGTTTTTCTTGATATTCTGGGATATAGGGCTGTGTGGAAGGGCCCTTAGATAACTCAGTTCAAAGCAGATATTGTTGGATTTTCTGTCTTGATATTCTGGGATATAGGGCTGTGTGGAAGGGTCCTCAGACAACCCAGTTCAAAGCAGACCCTGTAGGATTTTCTTTTCTTGATATTCTGGATTATATGGCTATGTGGAAGGGCCCTCAGATATAACTGAGTTATCTGAGTTCACATTGCCATATATTCAAATGTAATCAATGCAGATATTATGGGATTTTCTGCCTTGGTATTCTGGGTTATATGGCTGGGTGGAAGGGTCCCTAAGATAAACCAGTTCAAAGCAGATATTGTGGAATTCTCTCCCTTGATATTCTGGGTTATAGGGTTGTGTGCAAGGGGCCTAAAATAACCCAGTTCAAAGCAGATACTGTGGGATTTTCTGCCTTGATATTCTGGGTTATAGGGCTGTGTAGAAGTGTCCTCAGTCTGCGAAGGATAGGATGGGACGTCTTGGGCTACCAAAGAATGCTATTTGAATTGCGTTATACAGCCAGTGTGGACGCATTGGGCATGATTGGGCATATCTTTTGTCTGCACGTCAGAACTGGTTTAGTGGTAGTCAGTGTGGATATGCCCCACGCCTGTGGACCTACCCACCTTGGATAAGAGTAGGGCAGGTCTCATTCTCTCCCTCCCCCCCCCTCCAAAAAAGCAACCAAGCCGTGGCCGGTGTTTGGGGTCCTACCGGCGTGTGCTTTGCCTCTCGTTGCAGGACCAAGTGGAAGCGGCAGACGGCCGTGGGCCTGGAGCTGCTGGCCGAAGCGGGCAACTACTCGGCCCTGCAGCGGATGTTCCCGTCGCCCTACTTCTACCACCCGAGCCTGTTGGGCAGCATGGACAGCACCACGGCGGCTGCGGCGGCGGCGGCCATGTACAGCAGCATGTACCGGACTCCGCCAGCGCCCCACCCGCAGCTCCAGCGCCCCTTGGTGCCCCGCGTCCTCATCCACGGCCTGGGGCCCGGCGGGCAGCCCGCCCTCAACCCCTTGGCCAACCCCCTCCCGGGGACCCCGCACCCGCGGTGAGGCCGACTCGGGAAACACCCCCACGCACCCACTGTTTACCCTCTCCAAGTCCACTTCCCTCCCTCGAAAAACCTCCCGAGAAAGCGAGGAGCCAACTTTGGGAACTCAAAAGCGCCCCCCCCCCTCCCGCCCGACTCTCCTTCTTCTTGAAAAATGATACTTTTGGGGGTTCAAAAGTGTCCCAGAAAAAGCGACGTGGGGTGGAAGAGGAGGAGAGAAAGAGCCAAAGACTCTTGAGTGACACAAAGAGAGAAGAGGTGCCCCCTTTCTTTTCTTTCTTTCTTCCTTTCTCTCCCCCGAAGAAGACGACGGAGAAGTTTGCACTGATTTCTCACGACTCCCTCCTCCCGCTTTTTCTTTACCCCCCGAAAAAGTGGCATGCTCTGCTCCGTGTTCTATAAATAGATATATATCTATATCTATATAGAAGTATAAATATATATATATGGATATGTACATTTTGAACAGGCTGGTGTGCGAAGTGATATATCTTATTTATTCTATGTCGTCCGAAAACAAAAAAAGGGGGTAAAACAACCCCGAGTCACTGATACGCTTTAGTTCGAAGGACAACAGAAAGACACTGCAGCAAAGGCAAAAAAAGAAAGAAAGACACACAAAAAGATCTCTTTTCCCCCTCCCCTCTCCTTTTTTCATGCTCTTTTTTTGGGGATTTCAGTAAAGGCTTAGGTGGCAGCGAAAAAAATTATGAATAATTATATATATATAGATTTTTTTGAAGGCTGAAAATGGCAAAACGATGTGAAAAAAATAAATAAACTTTTATCTTTTTGTAAACAAACGCGCGGAGAGAAGCAAAGTAATTTCCCCCCGAGTTGCCCGCACGTGGGGGCGGGGCGGGGGGGGGGTTGTGTGGAAAGGGAGAAAACGTGTGTGTGTGTGTTGGTGGGTGTTTTGGAGCTGACATAATGCCAACTAGTCGGGAGCTGGGTGTGTGTTTTGCAGCGGCAAAGGGGGGCGGACTTTCACCTTTAGGCCCCTTCGGCCTTTCTGGAAGTTGAGGAAAGACCTTCACTTTTGCAAGTTAAACATTCAGAAGAAGAAGAAATACACCTGAGAATGAGTTGGGTGGGTTGGTTTTCTGTTCTCAATGTATTGGTGCTTTTGTTCAGCGTGTGGAAGGAAAGAATGGAGAAAAAGAAGGATGCTCTGCTTTGCTTTGCTGTCTTGCCCTGTTTTCTTTCCGTTTCTTCACTTCCTTTCCCCCTTTCCTTTCTTTCTTTTCTCCCAGCCCTTTCCTCTTCTCATCTCCTTTTCTACTTTGCTCTGCTCTACTCTGCTCTTTTCCCCTTTTCCTTTTCTCTTTTTCCTCCTTTCCTTTCTCCCTTCCCTTCTTTCCTCTCCTTTCCCCTTTTGCTTTGCTCTCCTTTCTCTTTCCTCCTTTGGTTTGCTCTCCTTTCCCCCTTCCTTTCCCAGTCCCCCTCCCTCACTTCTTCCCATTCCCTCCCTTCCCTTCTTACTTCTCCTCTTCTCTCCTCCTTGGCTTTGCTCACCCCATTCCTTCCGTTGTTTCTCCTCCTCCCTCACTTCTTCTTCCCTTCTTCCCATACCTTTCCTTCTTTCCACTCCTTTCCTCTTTCCCTTTCCTCCTTTATTTTCTTTCCTCTTCCCTTCTTTCCCTCCTCTCTCATTTCCTTTTCCTGGATTTTTGACCACTAAAAATATATTGTCCAATAGAATTTTTAGATAGACATAAGGAATCTCCCCCAAATAGGTTTCTTTTCTAGTCCACTTCTCTTTCCTGGTTTGCTTTGCTCTCCTTTTCTTTCCCTTTCCCCCCTTCCTTTCCCTTTCCTTTCCCTTCCTTTTTCCACTTTCCCTTTCCACTTCTCTTCCCTTCCTTCCCTTTCCCTTTTCCCTTTTCTGTTTCTCTTTCTCCCCCCTCTTTTCCTCCCTCCCCTCCTTTTCCTTCCCTTCCCCTCCCCTCCTTCCTTTCCTTTCCCTTCCCTCCCTTCCCCTCCCTTCCTTTCCTTTTCCTTTTCCCTTTCCTTTCCTTTCCTTTCCCCCTTTGCTTTGCTCTTCTTTTCCTTACACCTCGTGTCTTCCTTATGTTTTCTTTCCCCGCCCCTCCCTTTCCCTCCTTTTGCTCTTCTTTCCTTCTCCCTTTCCTTCCTTTCCTCTCCCCCTTTCCATTTGGCCATCCGTTGGGCCTCTTTCTCTCCTCCTTTCTCTCTCCCCTCCTTCCTTTGCTGCTGGGCGTCAGAGGAGCAGCTCGGCAAAGGGGGGGGGGGGGGAGAGGCGGGCGGCGGATGCTTGGCTCAAGGTGGCCGGACGTCTGGGAAACCGAAATGTGGTCGCCCAGCCTGGCAGCTGTTCCGAGGCCACAGAAGCCAACCGGGGAAAGAGGGAGGGAAGGAGGGAGGGCGAGGAGAGAAAAGCCGGGGCGGACAGCCTGGGAGCGGGAGGCGCTGGAGGGGGGGCAATTAGGAAAAGAAACCCCCGGCGGGGCAGGACCAAATCCAGACCCTCGGGGATATTGGGGGGCGGGGGGGGGGACCTGGGAAATCTTTGATCTTTCCTACCCCTCTCTTCTCCCCTTAGGTCTCTTCCCGCCCCAAGACCCTGCTTCTTGTGCCAGTGATAATATAATATAATATAATATAATATAATATAATATAATATAATATAATATAATATAATATAATATAATATAATATAATATAATATAATATAATATAATATAATATAATATTTATATAGAATAAAATAAAATTATATTTGTTGTATATTATATTATTATGTAATAATCCATCTAAAATAGAATATATTATATTATTTAGATAGATTATTAAATATATTATATTCGATTATATTATTATATAGAATAAAATAAAATTATATTTTTGTATATAATATATATAATATATATGATTTTATTCTGTTCTATATAATAATATATTATAGTTTAATAATCCATCTAAATAATATAATATATTTAGATGGATTATTATGTTATAATATATTATTTAGATGGAATATATTATAGTTTAATAATCCATCTAAATAATATAATATATTTAGATGGATTATTATGTTATAATATATTATATTATATAGATGGATTATTAAACTATAATATAATATATTATTATATAGAACAGAATAAAATCATATTTGTTATATATTATATTATGTAATAATTCATCTAAAATATAATATATTATATTATTTAGATGGATTATTAAAATATATTATATTCGATTATATTATTATATAGAATAAAATAAAATGATATTTGTTGTATATAATATATATTATATTATTATATAATAATCCATCTAAAATATATTATATTATTTAGATGGATTATTAAACTACAATATATTATACTATTATATAGAATAGAATTAAATTATATTTGTTATATATTCTATTATATTATTATGTAATAAGCCATCTAAAATATAATATATCATTTAAATGGATTATTAAAATTTATTATAGTATTATATAGAATAAAATAAAATTATATTTGTTGTTTATAATATAATCTAAAATATATAATATAATATTCTATATAATATAGATATTTAGATATTATATATAATTAATTAAATAAAAATATAATATAATATAATATAATATAATATAATATAATATTTGTTTTATTTCATTTTATTCTTTATTGAACTCTCATTTAGTTTAGTTTTTTAAAATTGGGGCAGGCTTCTGAGTTCAGAAGAAGGGGAGAGAAATAAAGCCTCCATGTCTAGTCTTTTTTGGGGGGGGGCATGTTGTAGAGGACTTTAAGATGGAGCCCGAGTGTGTCTGCATTTGGGTGAAAAGGAGGCAAGTAGGCAGCCCTCTCATTCTCTTATTCATTCCCTCCTTTCTCCCTCTTCCAAGCTCTCTTTCCCCCTCTCCCTCTGGCTTGGAGGGCTGCCCACCCCCATCCTCTTCTGCCAATCCGGATCAGCCTGCCCAGCCAGTCGAAAACTCAGCCCAAAACCCTAAACATTGGAAGGAGGAGAAGAAGAAGAAGAAGAAGAAAAAGAAAACCCCTAATCCCATTCTCTCCCCCTTCCCTCCAACGTCTCAGCCTCCTCTTCTCCTTTTCTTATTGCCTCCCCCCTTTTCTTTTCTCTTCTCCTCTCCTTTTAAAATTAGAAAGATATACAGCAATTACCTATAAAACATTCATCACGCCAGTCCCACATTATCCCTTCCTCTTGAGGTTTGTGGTTTGGCTCGCTGGGGTTGTTGTTGTTGGGGTTTTTTTGACGCTGGAGGAGGGCGAATGTGAGGGGTGATAGTTGAGGAGGGGGAGAAAAAGAGAGAGAGAGAGATTGAGAAAGAGGAGGAGGGGGAAGCTCAGAAAGCCTGCGGGCACCTTTTATTGGGGCTTTGCTAATTAGAGACTGCTTTGCTGCTTCTCGCCTTGCCTCCTTTCCCCACCCTTTCGCTAATAAATGCGCGTTAAAAACCATCTTGACCTTGGCCGCCTGGGCACAAAAGGGTCCGGAAACGCCCACCTCATTTTCGGCTCTTGCCGCCACCGAGCTGTGGGCCAAGAGGGTCTCCAGAGGGAGAGAGAGAGAGAGAGAGAGAGAGAGAGAGAGAGAGAGAGAGAGAGAGAGAGAGAGAGAGAAGCCTGGCCTCCCTCCCTCCCACCCTCCCTCCTCCCCTCCTCTCTCTCTCTTTCCCCCTTTCGTATTAATTAGGGTTCAGGAATAAATAATAACACACCATTCTGGGTTAATTCCTTCCCACTTGCATCCTTCCATCTCTCTCCTCCACCCCAGTCTCCCCAACCCACATACATTTCCACCTTTTGAAATGTAGAGAGGGAGGTCTAGAAACAAAGTTATCATCATCATCATCATCATCATCATCATCATCATCATCATCATCATTATTTTATTATAGTATTAACTGAGTTTGAAGTTTAAGATTATTATTAATAATAATTACTATTAATATTTATTATTAATAATATTAATAATTATTAATACTACTAATACTAATACTAATAATAATTATTATTATTGTTTTTCTCCCTGTTGGGACTCAAGGCGGCTAACAGACCACACCATCTAATCAAAAATTAAAAGAAAATAAATGTAATTAAAAAAAACCCAATTATAATTAAACATTAATGCAGGAATAGAGGTTAGAAAAACAAGAAAAACAATTAGAATTACTGGGTTGTTGTAGGTTTTTTCGGGCTGTATGGCCATGGTCTAGAGGCATTCTCTCCTGACGTTTCGTCTGCATCTATGGCAAGCATCCTCAGAGGTAGTGAGGTCTGTTGGAACTAAGCAAAATTAAAATTAAAATTACATTTAAAAATGTCACCCCTACCCCTAAATTCTATCCATAACCTTCCCAGCAGAGTGCTTTTCATCTTCTCTCAATGCCTGATAGGAAAGAGATGTCTTTACTTGCTTTTGAAAGGCAAGCAGAGATGGGCCCAAGCTGGTTTCCTTTGGGAGGGAGTTCCAAAGCGAGCTGTTAGGCTCAAAAATAGTCCTCAATTGGGGTGATTCTATCATAAATATAGCAGGGTACCAAAAGTAAACTTCATAGCCAACAGAAACTTATGCGTGGTGAGCTAGGATAAGCTTTTACACCATAGGATAGTGCAGGATTGCAGAGTCAGAAATGTAGGTTCAAAAATATTTATTTAAGCAAAAGAAAAACATTCTTGATAGAAAAGGTCTTGGAGCGAACTAGCTTTCTAAAACTCATCTTCTAAAGATGTGAAAAGTCCATGCAGCTACATTTTGCCTAGAGAGAGGAAAAATGCTTCCTCACTGTAAGGAAGAAAGGCAGAAGAGAATG